TGTGTGTGTGTGTGTGTGTGTGTGTGTGTGTGGGTGCGTGTGTGTGTGTCAGTGCGGGCCAGTCGTATCCCGCGGCCCAGCATGAGTCAGGGCTGTAGTCGTGACACCAGTCGGGAGAGTAGCAGAGACACCAGTCCGGCTCGAGGGTTCAGTCCGCTGGGTAAGAGCCCAAAACCAGACCAGACCAGACTCCTGCGCATGTCTTTACTCACACTTCACTTATCTGAATGGTTTTGGTTTTAGGAGTTTGGATCTAAATGTTTCTCTTTCACCTTTAATTTCCCATGAAACTAGGGCTGAATGATATGACAAAAATATATGTTAATATTTTTCGCTTTTTTATGATATTTTCATATACAGGTCAATATCAGTGTTATTTTAGCATCACTGAGATTCTATTATAGTTTTAATAATTATTTTGAATGAGTTTTTTTTAATTTTCCATTTTAATTTTAATTCTAGTTTAAGTTTTAGTCATTTTGTTGTGTGTTTTTGTCATATTTCTTAGTTTTTTAAATGTCTGTATAGTTTTTTTAAATAGAAATTTTTAGTTACATTTTAGTTATTTTAATACATCAAGTTTAGCTCAATAAGAATACTTGCCTTGTCAGCTAGCTGAAATAAAATGATATTATATTACATTATATTATTTGTATATTTTTATATATTTTGTCATTTTAATGATTTTCTTAAATGGTGAATTTGAATATAAATAATAGTCGTAATAATACTGTATATTATGTTAATATTATTATTTATATATTTTACATATTTTTTCCTATTTTTTTAATCTTCTTAAATTTGACCCGCTGGCGCTTATAGGTATAAATGCCTCGTTTTTTTGATCTGGTTTTATTGAAATAATTTTTAACAACATTGGATTGTAAATTACATAATTTTAGTAAAAGTCAATGACTGGGAGACTTGAATGTTTTATTTTAAATCTGTTACGTACATTTAAAAAACAGCCACGGGTAAAATTTACCCCGTGGCGGTTCTAGTGTTAAAGCTAACTTTTTTTTTTGGTTAAAAATGATCCAAAATCAATTATTGAGCAAGTACATAACCAGTCAGTGTTCAAAACTATCTCTTTACTTTGTAAACTTGTAAAAATGTTTTCTGTTGGTCTTTGCGGGGTTTTTTTTTGGACGTGATCCGAGCTAACTTTGCAATCGTTAGATTTACTTTTTTTGAGGAGCCGTACCGATGCACAACCCACGTAAAGAAGATAATTCTGCAAATAACTGCAATTGCAGGTTTCAAACAGAGATGGCGACAAAGAGGCAAAACTTACAGACTGCAGCTTTAAGGCTGCATTTATTTGATCAAACATACAGCAAAAATTTTGAAATATTTTTAAAAATTTAGAATAGCTGTTATCTATGTGAATATATTATAAAATTTAATTTTTTAAATTAATTTCAAAGCTGAATTTTCAGCATCATTACTGTGTCATCTTCAGTGTCACATGATCTTCAGAAATCATTCTAATATGCTGATTTGCTGCTCGAGAAACATTTCTGATTATTATCAATGTTGAAAGCAGTTGTGCTGCCCAATATTTTTGTGGAAACTGATACATTTTTATTTTTCAGGATTCACAGATGAATAGAAAGTTCAAAATAACAGCATTTATTTAAAATAGAAATCTTTTGAAACATTATAAATGTCATTACTGTCACTTTTAATCAATTTAATGAGTATTTGCTGGCTAAAAGTATTCATTTCTTTACTGACCCCAAACTTGTAAATGGTAGTGTATGTTTTTACTTATTTCTTTTGATTTTGAGATTGTAGTTTTCCCTGGCCGTGTGATTCACTTACATTCACATGCATGCAATTGTTCAAAAACATCCATGAGCATAAATCCTTTGCATGTCTCTTTTCTGTCAAATCCGTGTTAGTTCCTTTAGATGTTAGTTGCATGCATGGTGGCGTAGTCTGCGTAATATTTGACAGATGTTTGTGTGGTTTATGTAACTTGTGTCTCTGTGCTGTAGCAGAGACCGATGCGCCGGCGCTACGAATCTCCCGGCATGTACTCGGATGACGACGCCAACAGCGACGCATCCAGCGCCTGCTCCGAACGCTCCTTTAGCTCCCGTAACGGCATCGCCCCGCAGCACCTGCGTCAGACGGAGGACATGGCCGAGATCCTGAACCACTGCGCCAGCTCCAACTGGTCCGAGAGGAAAGAGGGGCTGCTGGGACTCCAGAGCCTCCTGAAGAGCCATCTATATTGGTGCACCTTCTTAATTTATTTTGACATTAAATGGTGATTTAAAAAAACCTGTTTTCTTATTATGAAACCATATTCAATTATTCTGCTTTGATATGAACAATTTGGTTGTGTTTTGTGCTAGTATATTAAAATAAAAGTATATTAAAATGCAGATGTCATGACGTGAGCGTGTCTGTGTTTCAGTCGCGTGGAGCTGAAGAGACTGTGTGAGATCTTCACCCGGATGTTTGCAGATCCTCACAGCAAGGTGACCTTTCATCATCTTCATTCATTCACAGTTTCTTTAAATAATGTTTATGTTTCTTTTGACTTCTGATGCTGATGACTTCTGTTCTGTTTTATGTTCTGGTGTTGCTTTGGGCCGATGCTTCAGAGAGTAAGTGATTCAAACCTGGAAATCTTGTAAAGAAATATCATAAATACATTTTAAAAACTTGGGAGCTGTTCACACTGGTGTTGTTTTAGTACCTTTGAGATTCTATTATAGTTTTTGAAATATTATTAATTAGTTTTTATTTTTGTATTTTCAGTTTTTTTAATTAAATTTTTTTTTATTCTTAGTTTTTTATTTTGTTTTAATTTTGGTTCAAGTTTTAGTAATTTTGTTGTGTTATTGTCATTTTTGTTTTTTTATTTTTAATGTCTATATAGTCTTTATTAATTTTTAGTTCAGTTTTAGCTATTTTAATACATCACATTAAGCTAAATGAGAAATATTGCCTTGTCAGCTAGCTGAAATAAATAATATTTAATTAATAAGTTATATTTAAAGTTATACTTATAAAATATTATATTATTATATATATTGTCATATTTTTATGATTTTCTTAAAAGGTGAAGTTGAATTTAAATATAAATAATAATAATAATAATAATAATAATAATAATAGTAATATATATGTTTGTGTGTTTTAAAAGTCTATGTAGTTTATGTAAAAATGTAAATGTAATGTAAAAAATTTAAATAAAAATATTATTAATTCATGCTTATTTTTAATTATTTAGTAATTTTGTTGTGTTATTGTCATTTTTATTTTTAATGTCTATATAGTTTTTATTAATTTTTAGTTCACATTAAACTAAATGAGAAATATTGCCTTGTCAGCTAGCTGAAATAAATAATATTATATTAATAAAGTTATATTTAAAGTTCTACTTATATAATAAAATTATATTATATTATTTGTATATTTTTATATATTTTTAAAAGGTAAAGTTGAATTTAAATATAAATTAATATATATATATATATGTGTGTGTGTGTGTATGTGTATTTTAAAAGTCTATATAGTTTAACATTTTATTTAATGTAAAAAATTAAATTAAAAATAATATTATTTCATGCTTATTTTTAATTAGTATTTCAGCTTAAAAAAATAAGGTGCGAAATGTTGCTTTGGCAGCTACCTGAAATAAAATGATTTTTAAAAATATTTTTAATTTATTTAATTTTTAACTGTATTTATTTCCATTTTAATTCATTTATTTATATTTTATTCTGGTTCACACAAAAAGTGCTGTTGCGCTGGAAACAGACTGACGTGAAGCAGCAATGCTTTTAGTCATTTAGCAGACGCTTTTATCCAAAGCGACTTACAAATAAGAAAAAGTAATTAAAACTAAAAGCTAAAACTCTATAAATACTATATATATATACACACATTTAAGAAAATAAAAGAAATTAAATAAAAATGACAAATGCATACAACATCATTTCAAAACTAAAACATTTAAATGAAAACAAAAAAAATTAAGCTAAAAACAATTCAAACATACACAAATAAGAAAAAGTTGAGTATAATAATGATTCTAACATAACACTAAGCCAAACACCAAAAAAACAACTACATATGTGTATGTACAGCCACACACATATACATATACATGTACATATATATAAATACATTCAATATATATATAT